TTGTTTTTAATTGTTTATTTTACATATTATCAAGGTTTCCTTACTTGTAAACATTATTCACCAAAATGTCTCAAATATTTAGTTTCTCCAGTGTACCAGTACTTTACATCTATCAATATTTACCTTACTGATACAGCTTTTAGAAATTATTTTTTTCAGAAATGAGACATTCCATGTTGCTTAGAAGGCATTTCAGTATATGGTAATAAATGTACCATAAAGGAAATCACACATCTCCGAAAAGAGAAAAGCAAGCTATAATTCAGAAGCTATAAAACAATTTATCATAGTATACAAGACCTCATTCTTGTCCTCACTCTCTGTACCATGATGAACAGATATTATGTATTTCCTAAAATGAATACTTAGTATTGAATGTGTAACTCAGCACTATCTTCAGAAATAATGGTTCAGGGAAGTATCCCAGTACATTTACCTTTGTGTCTAAGCTCTAATGTTAGTACTAACATAAAAGCTCATGGATCTGTCAGTGTTAGAAGTGCTCCTCATCCGTATCTATCTAACTGTGTTCAGAGCTGGACTAGCTCACTTTCTCCCAAATACATCTACCCCAAAAGGGGAAATAGCCATAGGACAGCTCATTCACTCTTCGAGGAAGAATGGGTTCCTGAAGGGCTTCTTGAAGAGCTCTGATTTTTACCTCATTTATTTGAAAAGAAGTCTGTATTTTAAATCTTCTCCCAAAACATGGATTTGGTATGTGTAGAATCTTATGCTCTGTTTTCTCAAATGACTTTTCATATCTATGCCACAGAATACTAGTATTCTAACGTATTAATAGATATTTAAAATATATACACATGTGCACATACACATACCAGAGGTTCCTAATTAAGAAAAATTGATAAACACTTAGTTAAATAGAGCTTATTGACTTTTTATTATGGAATTTCTCAGGGATCTGATGTGTCAGTGCAACTTTCTAGAGGATCACAACAAGCCATGCCCCTCAGACTTACCTGCAGTCTCTCCATCTCACCACACATTTTCCTAGCTCTAGTGTTCCACTGAGTACACTTTGGGAAACTGCTGTAGACTATGATGTACCACATACATCATAGTTCCTTGTATCCTCAATTCTGCACAGAATTTCTTTCTTTTTTTTTTTTTTTTGCATTAGACTTTTACTAAACTCAATTTGCATCTCTACAGGTAGGGAATCCATTTACCATGCCAAGTTCATTTTCTGCTCTTAGAACTGACTGCTGTGAACTTTGGTTACTTGTTTTAGACTCTCCTAAGGTAATGACCTTGACGTCCTGACCTGAAAACACTGTGTGCTAACTCATAATTAAATCCTATATATAACTCGCCATCAGTTTATCCAACACTTTTCCTCAATCAAATGACATGAAGTTGAACTTAATGTTGTCACATGAGCTTTGGTGACAGATGCTCAGGGCACTCCAGCAGTCACCAGTGTCAACCTACTCATTCTCTTATAATAAACCTTGATAATAATGATAAACAATAATGATAAAGGCATTACATTAAAAAAATCATATCAATCTAGAACGAGAAAACTCTTAAATTTGGGTGTACTACTTTTTCCAAAGTTTCTTTCATCTAAAGAATCCTACTTTTCAAGGAAATAAAATAGTCTTCAAAGGACTAAATAGATTCCTAAACACCATGCAATTTGCTTATAGCATTTCCTTCCCACTCAAATTCTGAGTCTTAAATTTGAACATGCATGATGTCTCAAACGCAGACACACTACTTCCCACATATATGCATACACATATACATGCACAGTAATTTGAACCAAAAGAATATAATATCAATGCAGCAAGATTTACAATCTCTATGTATCAACTTTGCAGATCTGAGCCTGTGGAAAATTGCAAGGCAGCAAGCAAATAGATATATCATCAAATCAATTCCTGTTTCTCTATAATGTTAAAAAGAAACAAATTCTACACTGAAAAGAGAACTTTCCACAAAATCATTGATACTGTTTGATCACATTATATAAGGCAGCTGTGTCAATCTGTTAATTTATCCAAAAACTTTAAAAATATGTTGCTTAGAATGATCAGTTTGCTCATACACTCCCTAAGTTGTCCCAGTATTTTTCTATTACAAATCAGAAACTTCGGACTTTTTTTTCATTAAACTTACTTCCAAGTGTTTCAAAGCCTCAAACTAGGATCCTGCTTCAGGTTTCTGACATTAAAACGTTAACATAGCCCTGAAGAATTTCCCTGGGCACATCAGGAGTAATCAAATTTCATGTGAACTATTAAATTACAGATATTCAATTATGTTTTCCAAACCTCTATGTAGAAATTCTAAAGGCCCTTAGAAAATATCCTTAGGCCAGAGACGAGGTTGGCGAGTGAAACCTTTTACCTGCAAAAGGGAAACAAAGAACTGGGCCTTCCTGGTCCCGGCAGGCACTTTGTAAAGTGGCACACGGTGTGCTGGCACGCAGTGTGCCCCATCCTCATTGTGCGGCACAAATTCTTTGTCACACTGGAGACACTGCAGAACAAAAATACTATTAGAAATCCTTCAAAAAGAACATTTTTGGCTACGATAGAGACTTTTGACATTATTTATTGGGTTCAAAACTGCTTCACAAAAGCCTAACAATGGTTCTGTGGAAACCAGTACATCTGAGGCCTTTTCTGTTGTTCTGGGCAGGCATTGATTGGAAGATGGGCAGCTCTCGCAGAACAATTCCTTCTCAGCAGTCAGCGTAAGTGAGCATTCACCTCCGGCCTCGAAAAAGCCTGTGAACAAGCCTTATGGAAATGCCGAGGTGGGCAGGAGCGGGGGGTGCTGAAGAGCAAACATTTATTAACTTCTTGGAGAATAAGTTAGTGGAAGTATCCACGAGCAGAGGAATGGGGCTCTTTGGGCACATGACCATGGAGGGAGATGCTTGCCTTCGGCTTCCTTTCTGTGTGGTGACAATTCTGCCTAGGGTGCATCTCTGGTGCCATGGCAACTGTGTCTCTTCTCTGTGTATTTCCAGACACCTTTAAGAAGTTTGGGCTTACCAGAGAGCCTTCTGTGGCTGCCACTGTCTCCTCCACCTTAGGTTCTGAGGAAGTTCTACAGGTGCTCTTCTGGGCAGAGGCTTTCTGGCTAGTGCTCCTGCAGAGGCCAATGGCTGTGAAAGGTTTCACCATAGGACCTGAAAAAGGAAAGCAACCCAAGAGTGGAACATCGCAGTGCAGAAAGATCACACGGAGGCAACTGGGGCATCGAATAGAAATGTGTGTATAAGGAGGGAGAAAAAGAAAGTCCTCTGACATTAATTAACCCAATGAGCTTACCTGTATTTTTATATTAGATTTCATTCCTTGCCCTGGAAAAGAAGTGCTTGGATGATACTGGCACACAGCAAGTCACAAAGGTTTTTAAACTCACTCTGGAAGCACAGCTGCCCTTGGTGAAGTTGGAAAAATTATACCACACTCCATCCCTGCTTCCAGTCAGAACAGCAGGCACTAAACCCGGCTAACATGGAAAAAACAAGGGAGCAGGGAACGGGAGAAAGGGGACTGAGAAAGCCTGTCAGGCCAGTATTGTGTTTCCACTTGGATCAGCTGCAGCCTCCGCCGCATCTCAGCCCTTTCTTCTCCTGAGCTGTGCACTCTGCATGCTGACACTAGCTGTGGGAATGCTGTGATTTAAAGCTGAGTGGATAGCACTGCTTTTATCATTTCAAGTATGCAGCCCCAGGCCAGAACAAACAGCTAGTTTTTAAAAGTCTCTGTTCAAAAGTAGCTTCAAACATTCTGTTTCTCTCTCATGACTGTCTCCCTCAGAAGGGACCAGCCCCCTGCCCCCCAGTCTTTCCACTGCTCAATGTTACTTCCTCCGACTGTCTGCCAGGTGGGGTTCCCTGGGCTCCGCAAGGCTTAGCAGAAGCGCAGCAGGTCAAGGGAGGCATTGCCTCTGGCCATCAGTAGAAATAGAAGCTCCTTCCCTTCTACTATGGTCACCTGGGAAGCCAATATGGAGTTTCCCTTCAACTGTGGCATACTGCAGAAATACAGAAGTACATGTTCCTCAGCAAAGCAGAAGATTCCTTTATTATTATTATTATTATTATTATTATTATTATTATTGTCTTTTTAAGACAGGGTCTCTCTGTAGCCCCAGCTGGCATGGATCTCATTATGTAGACCAGGCTGGCGTTGAACTCACAGAGATCCTCCTGCCTCTGCTTCCAGAGTGCTAGGATTAAACCCATGCCTGTATTTCTTTAATTAAAAAAAAAATGCTATGAATTCCTCTCAGGAGACTCACAGGTCTCTGGTGCCAAAACTATGTTTCAAGGAAAACAGTTCAAATTTTCCAAGTGAGAGAAACAGTACAGCTTCTAAATCTGCCAAGTTTGTAAAGAGAAATCATTAAGTCGTGTTAGATATCCTGACCAAAAAAGGAAGGATGGCCAGCTTAGACTAACAACTGATGAGCTGAAAAAAAAAATCTAAAAGGCAGTTACTCCACCGATTTTGTTAGTAATTGTAACCCAGCTGAAAATTAAAACAGTGAATTAACCTGAAGCTGAGTCTGCCCAACAACATACACTAACACTAATAACAGGTTAATTTTTCTTCTTTGCTTAATCAAATCATACTCTCATATGATTGTGTCATATATTCCATATGCATTTGGGGTTTTGTGGATTTTTTGAGGCATTTTCTTTTTTTAATTGAGCTTTTTTAATTTCTTACAACATTTCCCACTAAAATCCAGACCTCCTCCCCCATGCATGCCTCCCCCATCCCCCCACCGAACCCTATGCACTCTGCCATACGTGCTGAGTCCTATTCATTCACGTGTTTGTACCCAAATGTCCTTCAGTGTAAATGCATCCCCTGGAGTCTAGTCAGCCTATCCAGGGGCTGTAGGTAAGTCATACTCTCCCTCACACAACAGCAATCAGTCTCAAATAGTTCTCTATCTAGTGCTGGCCTACCACCTATTTCTCACCTCCCCTTTGAGCCCTTGTTTAATTGAGATGACTTGGGTCCCATGTTCGATGCCACCACTGCCACAGGCTCACATAAGCAAGCCTCCGGTGGTTTGGAAGCCTCCACCTCCCTGTGTTCATGAACCAGCCCTGGCTCTTACAATCTTTCTGCCTCCTCTTCTGAAATGGTCCCTGAGCCGTGGGTGGGTGAGGTTCCATATGGGAGTCCATCCTACACTCTACAGTCTCTTATTCTTCAAAACCTGACCAGCTGTGGCCTTCTGTATCACACTCTGATGTACATGGAAGCTTCAATGGTGAGAGTTGAGGGGTGCATTATCCCTTTTTCTGCCCCTTATTCCACTATGTTCCATGAGCTTTAGTTGTAGAGATTTGACTGCAGATGTGTCATCTAGTACTGGGCACCTCCCAGACCTATGCTCTCTGTGCCTGACCAGATGTGCAACTCTGCAGTGTCCTCCATCTGTGGCAAAAAGAAGCTTCTTTGATGAGTGCCATATGGTATGTTTGTTGCTCTAAGGGAGGTCTCTTCTATCTGGGACTGCATTCCCTGCCAAGCAGCTCCTAGGTATACATATGCATTCATGTTCAGACACTCTATGTGCATCTCTTTTAGGGTTTCTAGGACATCACTTTTCCCCCTAGGTTTCCTGCCCACCTGAGATTCACTCATCTCCACTCTTTTTTCCCATCTGGTTTCCCTCCTCCCTCTTTCCCTCCTTAGTCACAGTGCTCCTATTATCCCCCCCTCCTCCCAGTACCTCCAGACTTCTGCCATCTTTCCTCTCCTTACTTCCCTCCCTTTCCCATACCATGGTCCCTTCATGTCCCTCCCTTCTCTTCTCCCTGCCCATTACTCCCACTTTTTCTAACTCCCTCAGATAACATCCATTCCCAGGTTGTTTCCTATCCTCCTTTCAGGTTGTTTCTTTTCCTTTACCTCCATGTATCCTTTCCCTTTATCTGGCTCCTGGTGTTACATCAGAATTTATATAGTCACATATAAGGGATTGGTGCTGCAATCCACAAATGAGGGAGAGCGTACATTGCTTGCTTTTCTGCATTTGTGTTACTTCACTTAGTATAATACTCTCTTGCTCCATCCATTTACCTGAAAATTTCATAATTTCATCTTTTCTTTGACCCATTCATGATTCAGGATTGTGTTGTTTAATTTTCATGAGTTAATATAGTTACTAGAGCTTCTTTTGCTGTTGATTATAAGCTTTATTGCACTGTGGTCTGATAGAAGGCATGGAATTATTTCAATTTTTGTATTTGTTGAGATTTGTTTTGTGCCCCAGAATATGGTCAATCTTAGAATAATTTTCATGAACTGCTGAGTAAAAAGTGTATGCTTTAGTGGTTGGGTGAAATATTCTGTATATATCTGTTAGGTCCATTTCATGTAGTATCCCATTTAATTCAGATGTCTCTCTGTTTATTCTTTGTCCAGTTTACCTATTAATACCCCAGTTGATAGTGGGGTATTAAAGTCACCCAATTTCATAAAATCAGTAGTCCGCTCCTATGAATCAGAGTTTGGTGCATATATGTTCATGATCGTAATATCTTATTGGTCAATAGTTCCTTTTATTAGAATGAAGTAACCCTCCTTATCTCTTCTGATGAGTTTTAATTTGAAGTCTATTTTGTCAGATATTAAAATTGTGGCACCTGCTTGCTTCTTAGGGCCATTTGCTTGGAATATTTTTTTCCATCTTTTCACCCTAAAATAATGTCCATCCTTGAAGGTGAGATGAGTTTCTTGAAGACAAAAAATAGATGGGTTTTCTTTCTTGATCCATTGACCAGCCTGTGTCTTTTGACAGGGGAGTTGAGGCCATTGATATTTATTATTGAAAGATGTGTATTGTATACTGTCGTTTTAATTTCTTTTTGTTTGTGGCCCTATTTTGTGTTTCCATTGTTATACCTTTCTTTATTTTCTTTCTGTAGACTCTTGGGCATACTCATTCCTTTCTTCAGTCCTTTGTAATGTTTCTAGCATTCTCTGTAACCCTGGTTTGGAAGACATGAATTCTTTCAGCCTATTTGTGTCATGGAAAATTTTCTGTTCCCCTTAGACCTTGATAGATAGTTTTGCTGGATAAAGTATTCGGGGTTGGCATCCATGGTTGTTTAGAACTGGGAATACTTTGTTCCAGGCTCTTCTGGCTTTCATAGTTTGCATTGAAAAGTCAGCTGTAATTCTAATAGGGTTTGGTTTCCTTTATATATAATTCATTTTTCTCTAGCAGCTTTCAGTACCCTCTCTTTGTTCTGTACATTCAATGTTTTTACTATGATGTGCCATGGGGACTTTCAGAAGATCATGTCTTAATGGTGTTCTCTGTGCTTCTTGAATCTCTATATCTTTCCTTAATTTAGGGAAGTTTTCATCTATAATCCTATTGAGCTGTTCAATGCCATTAGTTTGAGTTTCTTCTCCATCCTGTATGCCTATAATACATAGATTTGGTCATTTCATGTTGTTCCACATTTCCTGAGTATTCCATTCCCTGTTTTTTTTTGAATTTGTAGTCTATGCTTAAGGAGTGCAGACCTTCAACTTTATCCTTCAGTCTTGATATTCTGTTTTCCATTTCATTCATTCTGTTTTTGAGACTTTCTCCTGATGTTTCTAATTGGTTTATTAAGTTTTTCAGTCCCATTTCCATTTGGGTTTTCTTCATTATTTCTATCTCTTCAGTGAATTAACTATTCAAATATTGAATTATTTTTGAGATTTCATTAAGCCACATATTTGTATATTCTTGGGCTTCTGACAAAAGTTTATCCCTTTCTTCTTTGAGTTCTTTGAGTTGTTTGTGTTTTCTTGAAGTTCTTTGATCATGTTTATGATTGTTCTTTAAATTCTGTGTCCTGGGTTCTACAGGGTGGTTCTCAATGCTGTGCACTTCTGTAGGACTCCTGGGTTCTGTTGGGAACATATTTTCCTAGTTTTTCATATTTTTTATGTTGCAATTTGGGCGTATGGATGTTCTTTGTTAGTTATGTGTTCAACAGGAATTTCTACTCTCCTTTTGTTTAATTTTGGTTCTGTTAATATTGTTTATGTAGCTTAGTTACTTTTTGTTTGGGTATGGAAGACAAATTGGTGAGTATTTAACATTCTTGCCTGGTAGTAGACTGGTCAGAGTCCTGGCTGAGCAGGTCTGTCTGCC